TGTCATCACGAATGTCATTATTATTATTATCATCTTTCTTAAACCTGTTACTATTTTAAAAAAAAAAGCTGCTAGTGATCGAAGGGCCTGGCATAGTTGTGGTCGGTGTTTGAAAGCATTTCAGTAACATCAATAGCATTTCCAAAACGATTGTCCAAGCGGTCTTGGTATTCATGATACTTAAAAAAAAACTCATAGAAAATGTTCCGTTTAAGCTGAAAAATGCTTTCAAAAGCCTCCTTGCAGTGAGAAAATAAAATTTTGTGTCAATCAAAGAAACGAACAAGCAATCATTTTACATTCAAAAATTCATGGGAAAAGCGTGTGTGAAAAAAAAATTACTTTCTTAAATGCTGAATACGTGTTCCTGGTTTGAAACATGCAACACCGCCTGAAACAGAGAATAAGGAGAAGGAAAATAAAAAAATCCAAACCGTGAAATACCAACATAACAGAATATTGCATTCATTACTGCAGCTGTAGTTTTCTGACCAATGGTCAGTCTTAGCCGACGCCCAGACTAGTCAAAAATTTCACGGATCTGATTCTGTTGAATGAATTAAGCCACGAAAACATTGCCCTACAGTTGGACATTCGGACGACTTGAGATGGCCAAGTCGTGTTCAGCAGACAAATTTTAGTGAAAAATAGAAAAAGCGAACCATAAGTGCAGACGGCCGCATCAAGGCCAGAGGCTCGGCCATGTATCAGTGATTCGGCGGCCGCTGACCACTTCCTGATCATATCCAAATGCTCATCGTCCCACGTCAACGAACCTTCATCGCCCACCTTTAATCAATAAATATGTGTTATTCCCCGTGTTATTTAAAAAAGATCAAAAATTATCCTTCAAGGGATACTACACAAGGCCGAAAAATCGCAGGAGGAAGACGAAAAATCTTGTTTTGGGAAAAAACTCATAAACAATAATAAGCTCATATAAGATGAAAATTATCAACTAGAATAACCTTCAAAACGTATTGCTATTTTAGAAAATTCATTTATTATTAAATGCTATTATTACTATTATTATTATCACTGTCATTATTATTATTGCTATTATTGTTGTTATTATTGTCATCACTATTATTATCGTAATTATTATCATTATTACTATTGTTATTAACACTACCCCCATTATTACTACTGCTATTATTTATCATTAGTTATAACTTTCATAATATTGTCATCACTAATTTAGCCACTCTTTTCTTATTGTTATTGTTGTTTCTCTTTCAGTAAAATCAGCGAGGATAAAAAGGCAACATATATTTGGGATGCTTAAATTATCCATAATTCACGTTCTGGTTTGTAGGAGCAGTAGTTAATCAACTAATCATAATTCAGTAATGCTAGCCAGAATTTGTGCTCAAGATATATCAATTTGTTGACAATATGGACTGAATAATAAGTTGAGCAGATCAGAAGGCTTACCGGGACAGATGGTGATGGAATTAAGCCAGCCATCTGTAGCAGAGCAGCTGCTATGCAAACACAATATGCTCCTGAAAGCGAGAAATTCTTTTTAGTAAACAAAATTTTCAGAATTAAGCCAGCAAATGATCGATTAATTCACACAGAAATGGCCTATATGCCTATGTATTTATATGTACGAGTTTGTAAGCTTGCCAATAAAACCGACCTCCAAAATCATCATCTTTTTTTTTTGTACCTGTTGTGGAAGTCCAGCGAAAAGCCGGCAGTTGTGCAGTATAGCGCTGCAGCAACCCTGCGGGAGTATTTATATAGAGATGCGTCATGCTCACAGAGATGAACAGTTTGATTTCCTCCCGGTCCATACTTATTTGTATCTACGATGAGTCTAATGTAACAATATAACATGCAATTTCCTTCCTCCTTTATCTGTAATTCGTTCCATCTCAATTGAATCAGTGTGTCTGAGACTTAACTGAAACAATCCTCTAACGCTTGTACTTAACAGCACCACACAGCTAAATTCGCATTTGGAAAAGACTAGAAAATTTAATGTGACGTCAATTCTTTTCAGGAAAATTCGTTTTCTTCTTACTAAATCACTCAAACTGGGCAATTTCTCCTCATTCCAGGGGGCGAAATGAAGGCCGGGATCGTCAACAGGCTGACCAGCAAGTGAAGCAGCACTGGTCAAAGCAACTACAAAAACTGCCAGATACAGGGTCAAATACCTATTCACTTAACTAAAAAAAACTGTCTGAAAATTATCATCTTTTAGAAGGTTTCTTGTGTTTTTAAGTGACTTCTTAAGAGCCTAAGCGCCAGAATCATCGATTCTGATGATTCTGGCACTTAAACCCTTAAAAAGGCTCACATGCTTATGGTCTCTATTCCTTCACACCCATGATAGAGAGCGGCGAAAGCATAAAAAAACGTAAGGTTACTCACCTGATGAGCCAAGGCCAACACATGAAGGAAGCTTGAAGCGAACAGTAAGTTTTACAGCAAGTATGTCCCTGAAAAACAAAAATTTCCACAAAAATCTGAGAGAATCGAAAACCGTTAACCTCTGGACAAGCAATTCCTTCATAATTTGTTTGCTCGTTTATATGGTAAATTGGTATTAGTAGTCAAACTCGCCATCAGCTTGCTTCCAAAAAACTCTCGAAAAAGAGTGCTATCGACAACATTGCCCCCAGAACGCGGCTGTCAACAACTGGTGTCAACTGGGTTAATTTCGAGTACTTTCAC